GTGGTGAAAAGTTTTTTATAAATTTCCTATAATAGTTGGCAAATCCTATAAAACGCTGGATAGCCTTCAGGCCTTGGGGAAGTGGCCAGGACAGTATAGCTTCCAATTTAGCAGGATCCATACTGAAACCCTGTTCAGTAATGATATATCCTAGGAATTGCACAGAGGTCTGATCGAATAAACATTATTATGGTTATGGTGTGACTTCAAATCAGGAGAATACACAAGTATGTCGTCAAGTTACACTACAGCACAGACATGCAATAGATCCCTAAGGACATCATTTATGAGGTCCTGAAACACGGCAGGAGCATTACACAATCCAAAAGGCATGACCAGATATTCGTAATGCCCACTGCGTGTGTTGAACGCTGTCTTCCACTCGTCATTCTCCTTTATACGGACAAGGTTATAAGCCCCCCTGAGGTCTAATTTGGTGAAGAATTTAGAACCTTTAACACGATCAAACAACTCAGTGATGAGGGGGATAGGGTAGGCGTTTTTAACCGTTATATTGTTCAGACCCCTGTAGTCTATACATGGCCTCAAATCGCCCTCCTTCTTAGCCACAAAAAAGAAACCAGCACCAGCAGGAGAGGAGGACCTTCTAATAAAACCTTTTCTTAGGGATTCCTGTATGTACTCCTCCATGATCTGGTTCTCTTTTTCAGAAAGAGGGTAGACCTTTCCCCTAGGAGGCATAGTGCCCGGTAAGAGGTTTATGGCACAATCATACTCACGATGTGGAGGTAGCTTATCTGCCTCCCTCTTTTCAAAAACCAAGGCAAGGTCTGCATAAACAGAGGGAACAGAAACCGAGAGTGGTTTAGCCGTGGGCACGTTAAGTAAACAGACAGGACGTACATGAGCCATACAGTCTCGCTGACAAGATTCCCCCCAGGAGAGTATGTCTAAACAACCCCAATCAAGAACAGGGTTGTGTTTAACTAACCAGGGAAAACCTAGAACGATGGAGGCTGTTGGGGAGTCAATTATTTGGAAGGTTAACTTCTCCTTGTGCAAAACACCCACAGACATAACTATTTCCTAGGTTTCATGGGTCACCAGAGGTTTCTCCAGTGGTCTACCATCTATGGCCTCAACGGCCAAGGGTGTCTCCTTTCGGATCAAATTCAGGGCTGCGGTTTTGGCAAAGGTCTCATCCATAAGGTTGTCTGCCGCACCCGAATCGATCAGGGCTTTGGTTGTTATAGTGGTTTTATTGACCAAGAGAGAAACCGTAATAAACGGTCTAGAGATGGACATATGAGGGGACAAAGTCATAACACCCGAGGCCGACCCCTCTCTAGGCCTTAGGTGCTGCAGTTTCCCTGTACTTTAGGGCAGGCTTTACAGTGATGCCCCCTCTTCCCACAATAAAGGCATAACCCCTCCCTTCTACGGTACGCTCTTTCAGCCTCAGTTAACCCCGTAGCACCCAACTGCATGGGTTCAGGGGATGGTTGCACAGGAGCGGGTAATGCTAGCAGGGAAGTACTGGGTAGAGCAGGTAACACCCATGTATCCAACCGTCTTTGGCTACGCCTCTCTCTAATACGGTTATCTATAAGAATCACATAGTCTATAACATCATCTAGAAGAGCAGGTAATTCCCTGGATGCTATTTCATCCAGTATATAAGCGGCCAGACCCTCCTGAAAGGCTGTTACGAGGGCGTCATTATTCCAAACCACTTCAGCTGCTAGAGTACGAAATTCGATAGTGTAATCTGCTACAGACCTGTTACCCTGTCGGACCCTAAGCAGAGCCTTGCCAGCAGAAGCAACCCTACCGGGTTGATCAAACGTGCGTCTGAAAGCTGTCAGAAAATCTGCAAAGGACATAGGAGACGTATTTTCCCAAATGGGGTTGGCCCATGCTAAAGCTCTCCCGGACAAGTGGTTTATCAAAAAGGCAATTTTAGATCTGTCAGTGGGATAGGAGCGTGGATTCATCACCAAATGGATGTCGATTTGGTTGAGGAAACCACGACACAATGCTGGGTCACCACTGTAGCGCTGTGGCGGCGTCATGTGAACTACATGAGCGGGAACAGGTACTGGAGTGGGAATGGGTTCGGGCACAGCAGCAGCAGCCTCCTGAACGGCAGGTTGCAAGTGTGCAGTACGAGCCAGAATGGTTTGCAAAGCTTGAGCAAACTGATCCATACGGTGGTCCAAGCCATCCATTCTAGCCTCTTGATTAACTAGGAGCTGTGGTATGTCAGCAGGTTCCATTATGGCCCTGTTGTAATGTCACGATTCGGGGAACCCAACACGCTGGCACACACACACACACACAAAAGGTGCCGTACCGGACCTTAGAGTGGCCGGGCTAAGCACACACAGAATAGTCAGGAGACAAGCCGAGTAAAGGGGAACAAGAAGACAGAATAACGTGAAACGAGCCGAGGTCAAAGGGTAGGAGAAAGTCACAGAGTCAGATAAACAAGCCAGAGAGTACGTAACCAGAAGCACAAGGTAAGTAGCAATACTAGCAAGCAAAGACCACAACAGGGCAGGGAGGAACAGGAAAGGTAAGTATTTAAACCATCAGGTTAATTCTGATTGCATGATTTCCAATCAGAATTAACAATCACACGTGGGAGATATTTAGACCTCCCACTGTGATTGAGGCACTGTGCCTTTAACGCCGGGTCAGGTGACTGACCCCAGCGTGTATAAACCTGGGTGGTCTCCCAGCGTGCAGCGTCATGCATGCTGCCGCTGGGGGACGTGGAGGGAACGGCGGGCGGCATCCGAGGCTGGAAGGATGCCGCTCGCCGTACCCATGAGGCGGAGGGGACCGCGGACGGCTGGAGGGTGAGTACTGCGAGCGGAGTGCAGCCTCCCCTCGCAGCCGCCCGCGGGAGCCTGACAATGACATATTGACACCTTGACATATGGATTGACACCTGTCCTCAGAGCCCCTGATGCACACGGACACAGAGCAGAATAGAGACTGGTCCCCCTACATAGGGTCACTTGGCAGATATGGATTGACACCTTCCTAAGGATCCCTGATAGACACTGACACAGAGCAGAATAGGGACTGTTCCCCCTACATCAGGTCACTTGGTAGATATGGATTGACACCTGTCCTAAGGTTCCCTGATACACACTGACACAGAGCAGAATAGGGACTGGTCCCCCTACATAGGGTCACTTGGCAGATATGGATTGACACCTGTCCTCAGAGACCATGATACACACTGACACAGAGCAGAATAGAGACTGTTACCCCTACATACGGTCACTTGGCAGATATGGATTGACACCTGTCCTCAGAGACCATGATACACACTGACACAGAGCAGAATAGGGACTCTTCCCCCTACATCGGGTCACTTGGCAGATATGGATTGACACCTTGTTACAAACTGCTATTTGTAACGGGCCCTTTAAATGGCAAATTGCCCTGCTTCCCTGGGTTGTGGAGAAGCCTATTTGCCAGCCTCCTCCCGCATGACTATGGACCCTGGGAGATTGTGAAAATGTATGCACTTTTATTTGGTGTGTATGGCCCTTTAAGACTGTCGGTGGGCATATTGGGGCTTATGGACTCTTTATGTGACTGGTGCTGGCCCTTTAAACACCTTTTTTGGGACATCAGGAAGATTGGGACACTGCCCCTTTAAGGCCGTGTCCCCAGACTTGTTGGGGACACTGCCCCTTTAAGACGGTGTCCCCTGTGTCCCCAGACCTGGTGCAAACCCTTTGTGCCTGCCTGGCTAATTCCCACTTGGTTCAGTAAATGGGGCTTACTGAACCAAGTACCACACAGGCAGACCACCCAGAAGTGGAAGTGTGCAGGCAATTTACCTCCCAGAAGCTGCGGTTAACCGCAGCTTAATTGACAATGCTGGAGGTCTTTGTTCGTTTGCGAACACGTGGCGGCGGCCATCTTTGATCATTCGACGAGGTCAGCGGTATGTGTAGCCAAATTCATGGAACTAAAATCGGCTACACATTTCCGCGAACACCAGCTGAGCTCTACCTTCTCCCCTACTGGTTTTACAGCTGCAGAGACTAAGTCCCATTCGGCGATGGGACTTAGTCTTTTTTCAGCCGCTTTTTTCAGCCTTATTTCAGCTGCAGAGACTAAGTCCCATTCGCGATGGGACTTAGTCGTTTTTTCAGCCTGAAATAGACCGACCTCACAGCCCAAATCTATGGAACTGTTTTGGGCAGGAAAATGTGCTTGCGGTCGGTCATAAAGGGACCTCCAGCTAACTTTTTAACCCCTGGATGGATTTGGCTGATTTTTGGTTATGTTTATGTTTTAAGTGTGCTGATTCCAAATATGTAATTATGAAGATGGATGTGTAGTTTTAAAGTTACAGGGTATGGCTAAAAACTGTATTTTTACTGCCTGTGTTTAATTATGTTAATCTCTTCCCAAACGTCATTTCTGCTCAAAGTGAGAGAGAATGTTAATAAAATATATTTTTGTTCTGAGTGTGAGAAATGCTTTTCAGCCGCTTCTAATCTTAAGCATCATTTGAGGAGCCATACAGGAGAGAAACCTCATTTGTGGTGTGTTTAGTATTGTTCTGATCAGTTTAATACCTTCCGCGTCTCCTATCAGTGGACGTGTATATGGCAGCCATTTTAGGAACCGTACACCTGGGAACCGAGCAAGGTCACCTCGTTCAACAGGCTTGCAGCGCATCCTCCAGGAAGAAGAGCCTGAACCCTTACCGGCTGCACGTGTCTTACCTGTACATGGAAAGCTGCTCTGGTTCCTTGATGAGCCAGCTGCCCGTGAGTTAACATGTCCTGTGGAGAAGCACTCTGTCCTGTAAAGCCTCACCAAAAAAAAGGAGTGGTGTGTTTAGTATTGTTCTGATCAGTTTAATACCTTCCGCGTCTCCTATCAGTGGACGTGTACACGGCA